CGGGGATTCGAACCCGCGACCCTCAGATTGCGAGTCGAGTGCTGTAACCACCTGGCCATGCCGGGCCACCTTTGTGTAATGATACAAGTTATACACTTCACCTTTTGCATCAGCTTATCTCAGCATCTGGAAGGTTAAATCTTTCCATAATTACCAGTATAATTTTTCCACTTTATGTCGTGTTCAATAAAAACGCAGCTAGATGAATAAGAAATAATACATTGTTTATTTTTCATATTTCTCATTTACTAAAACGTTTTAGATACTTCTCACTTACTTTCAAATAGAAAAATGTATTACTTAGACACTGCATGATTTATTGTACAGATATACTTAGATGAAATATTAACTACAGTGCCAATGTGGTTAAGCGTGCCAGGTTTGTGAATCTGAGAGATCACGGTTCACGTCCCGTAGCCGCAAAAACTGGCTTCACACTTTGGGTCATGAGTACGTTATAAGAGTGACGGTCAAATCATTTTATTTGGTCAGACAATAGTAGCTTAATAGTTAACGGTGAATGCTCTAATTTATCATGCACTTCAAAATTAAGAACGGCTGTGGTTAAATAGTCCTTGTGTAGCTTTGCGCGAAAACTCTTAAACAAACAATGCTTTCGACAAATACTGTTTATTAACTGAAGCAGTTACTAGTCCTAAATATACAAAGCATTTTAAGGATGTATATATTTACATAAACAACTTAAAACGTAACTTAAAGTTTTGTTATCTCATTCAGCGATACTTTATTGATGCAATATACTTGAGATTTTCACTAACTCGAAAAACACAATGTTCAAGATAGTTAAAAGTTGGCCTTCATTTGTTATAATCCATACCTTTCACGTGCTCCTTGTAAAGGTTGATTTGCACTTTTTTCTACTTTCAAGAACATTTAATATTTTTTAAAATGCTGATTGATCTCATGCATTGTCTACTATTATTAAACGACCTCCAAATTCCAAGGATTTTTCTAAGCATACATACTTACGTATTTCTTTATGATCATATTTAGTTGCCTGGGATCGATGAATGTCTTTATCCTGTCCTGTGTAGGTTTTATGAGCTTTTACTGGTCACATGGTATACAGCGACGCTGTAGCTAGACGTTAGTACTGTGTTCAAGTATAATTCGACAGTAAAAGGGGTACACATACAGTTCAAAAGTAAAACATAGTATGTAAAATAAGATGGTGTCCTGACTCGTGTAGACTCAGATCTAAATCATATTTATACATGTGTATAATGCTTTTATACTATATCTATCTATAACCTAATAAATGTTATATATATATAAAGAGAAAGAGAGAAAGAAACTAGTTGCGTGGAATCATTCTTCACAGACTCGTGAAAGTTGATGAGCTGATTCATGATGCAATTAATCCTTGTTGTTGTCTAATAATGATAGGATTATTTTGTATCGTAGCTTATAAAGTTGACCTTAACTTTAGTTAGTAATAATATGCTGTTCTTGTGGGTCTGTCGGGTTCTCTGGATCAATCATCGAGATTTAGGTCGTTGGAGGGTCAGGTTCTTAATAGACCTCTTCCTCCCTCCTGTACTATCGTTACTAGTATTTTATACTTTAGGTTTTTGGTAAGCTGGTTTGGAGGTTAATCTGTTTCTATTTGCAACTTTCTTTGTCGGGGCTATGTTCGTTTTATGTTATCTGGTTATATGCGAGTCTGGACTTATGTTTGGTGTGTATTTGTGTGCTGTATTGTTTGTCACAATACGAACAGTTGTATAATGTGTGGTAGTTGTGGTGTTAGGTGTTCAATAACTATTTTAATGATTAGTGTAATGCTGTCATCTTGGTTTTGGTTTCTGTATTGTGCGAGGAACTCTTAGAATATGTTTTTAGCTGCTTCTGTTATTTTGCTTATTACTTTGTTTCGTTGTGTTAGGGCGTCTGTGGGTTTGTGTTCTTCCTTTTTTTTGGTATGTCTTCAGTTTGGGAGTGGGTTTTGACTGCCTGTGAGAATGTATATATAGTAGATTGTTGGTTTGTGTTAGCTGTCTGTTGGGGCTTTGGTGTTGGTAGTAATGGGTTCTGTCGGGTTAAGTTTATTTGTTTGTTTTGAA